AACCCCAAAAGATGGCTGGGATAACCATAGGAATAATTGTAGGAATGACTGTAGCCAAAGAAATAATTCTAACTGAGAATTTCAGACAATGGAGAGAGAGGATTTTATCATAGGCTCCAAGCCTTTGCCCCAGCAACAGTTGTCTACTGTGCTGTGTGCGTCAGATCTGCCTTGCATTAGTCACAAAAAGTTCTGGGGAAGACAATGTAGATCAGGGTTAAAAAACACAACATTCAGATTTGTTCAGATGTGTTCTCTACTGAAGGAACGGAGGGAGAGAATTAACAGGAGTTCACTACATGTTATGAGGTTCTCAGAAAAGTTCTCAGACTTTTCTTTATAAGAAATACCTGGGGAGCTTGTTATAAAATATGTTCCCAACTCCAACCCCCAGAGATGCCAAATCTCCAGTCTGAGTTGGGGTTTGAGATTCTTCACTTTCATCAAGCACCTCGGGTGATTCTGATGCCAGTTTTTTCCTTAACGTTCTATTTAAAAAATTCTCAAGCCTTGTGAACGTTCCAAGAACAGGATAATGAACACCAGTATGCCCTTCGCCAAGATCAAGGGTCGGAAAACTTTTTCATTAAAGGAACACAGTAAATATTTTCAGCTTCTCAATCACAGTCTCCGTGACAGCTACTTAGATGTGCCACCAAATACGTAAACCAATCATCACGTAAGCAAGTGAGCGTGGCTGTCTTCTAACAAGACTACATTTATGAACACTGAAATTAAAATTTCACCTAATTTTCACATCACAAAATAATACTCTTCTTTCGACTTTGTCCAGTGGGTTAAAGAGGTAAAAGCCATGCTTAGCTCAGAATTGGTACAAAACCAGTCAGGGGAAATTTGGCCTACACGTCCTTTGCCAACCCCTGAGGAATCCACCTGTGATTGTAAAGTCTAAGCTTTTCTGAGGATGAACTTTATTTGTTTTTTCCAAATGTTTACTTATTTTGAGAGAGAGAGCAGGCATGTGCATGAGCAGGGGAGGGGCAGGAAGAGAGGGAGAGAGAGAATCCCAAGCAGGCTCCATGCTGTCGACACAGAGTCCAACACAGGGCTCGAACTCACAAACCCGTGAGATCATGACCTGAGCCAAAATCAAGAGTTGGACACTTCACCAGCTGAGCCACCCTGGCGCCCCTTCTGAAGATGAACCTTAAACTGATCACTCTTCATGCAGACTCAACACAGTGTCCATCCATCTTAGGAAAATTGAAAAAGTTAATCAATGAGGTTGTTTTCTGACTCTCTGCTGTATTTTCAGATAGAACATTTCACAGCTTCCTGTGGCTAATATTTTTGGATGCCCTGTGGGGTACAGTTCCTCCTTTAAAATCTTGATAGTTCAGTTAGTCATTGTCTAATTTTACCACATAAAAATAAAGTGTGTGTGCCCTTCCCCACGACACCAGGACCCGATTAGCATCTTTTTTAGCTTCTCTCTCATACTGAGGACAAATATGGGTAAAAAGACAAAAACAGATGGGGCGCCTGGGTGGCTCAGTCGGTTAAGCGTCTGACTTCAACTCAGGTCACGATCTGCTGGTCTGGTGGAAATTTGAGCTTGGCCTCACGGGCTGCTCTGGGCTGATGGCTCAGAGCCTGGAGCCTGCTTTGGATTCTGTTCCCTCTTTCTCTCTGCCCTCCCGTTCATGCTCTGTCTCTCTCTGTCTCAAAAATAAACATTAAAAAAAAAAACAGAAACAAAAACAAACCCTCTATGCTCCAAATGGCTCCAATTTGTTATTTGTGAGCAAGGGGCTGGGGATACCTTTCCTCGATTTTTTTCCTCCCTGACCTTTGGCTGAAAATTTGCCCCGACCCAGAATGTCTGCTCACATTTGTAGCAACACTGGGTTATTACCGAGTTAAGACAACAGTAATGATGAAAATCTGTTAACCAATTACTTCCATTCATAGTCTTCAAGAATTCTGGAGGGTAAGGTCCAACTCAGCATCACAAAATCAGCAAACATGGTCACAAAGGGATCTATGTATTTACCCATGAAGGCCAAGACAGTGGGGGGTTGGGGGGGCGGGGAACACTTGAGTTCACTAAGTGCATTCCTGCTTATTAAAATGCCTTTCAACTGGACTTATCCAAACATTACCTCATCTCCTAGGGAATGAACACCTAGTTATCTGAAGCATTCAAGCCTCTACCACCTCATTGCCCCGCCCTTCTCAAAGCAAAGTGATCTGTTTAATGGCAGGAGGATGTGTTCTCCTCTGATGAAGCTGGAGAACAGAGAAGTCATAACCGCCCCCCTCCCCATCCGGCATCTGAACATCAGCTTAGGCTGCTTTGGAGTCACATTGTAAAGACCTTGCATCTGCCTTTCATCTCCCAGCTAGCTCTCCTCCAGCTTGTGAGAATATGCGGCATGCTGGCTCAGGTGGAAGGGCAGGCACCTTAGAGTGAAGACTTAAAACCCAAGTCGGCCGACATATGAGAAGGCCCTGGGTTTCTCATCAGCTGGCTGATTTGTGGACGGTCGCATCGCTGGAGCTCAGCCAGCTGCCTCACCTGATGGAAAATGCTTATGAGCTTTGAAATCACCTTTAAATAGGATATATTTTCTCCAAAGAAATTAGAACCGATTGCTAGCTCCCCATTGCCGGAAATGTATTTGTCAGTTTAGATGACCGATTCAACAATTTGAGACGATTAAGGACTACAAACTGTATCTAAAATTCTATTCAAAAAAGACAATAGTGAAATGCTATTTAGGTCCGGGAGTTCTGTAATATAGGAATAGCAAATAAAAATAATAGACAAATGTAATTTTGTTTTAGTCAAAAATTACAGACCGAAGTTAAACAGTGGACCTATTATATTAGTGCGGTGGGTCCTAAACCTGGCTGCATGTTAGAATCACCCAGGGAGCTTTAAAAAAATTCCAATGCCCAGGCTGCATCCCACACCAATTAAACCTGAAAGTAGGGGTGGGGGGTGGGGCCCAGGCCTTTGTATTTTTTAAAGCTGCCAGGCAATTCCAATGTGCAGGCAAGGTTGAGAATGTGATCCCTGTCCCTCTGCGGCTTAGTCTTTCAAAATCTACTTGGCAGACGGCTTCCCTTCCTCATCTCTGCCGATAGCTTCTTTACAGCTGCAATCTGGAATAAAAAAATGATTGATCGATTGAGTCACACACAATATATAAAAAATACATGCACACACATTTTTATTTATTTAACTTAGGCCCTGATTATTAGCATATAAATCAGAAAAAAACGAGTGCCTTGGAACTTACATAGCCTCTCCAAATCTTTAAAGAACCAAACTCTAAAAAACACACACAAGAGATACTTAAGTCGTAAAAAACACACACACAAACAGACTTTAATCACCTTCAGGAACCATGATCCAATAATATATTTCATAGGTAAGATCTTGTTCATCAAGATACAAAAGAAAAAAAACGAAAACAGCCTTAAACTTTAAGACATGTGCCCTTAGCAAGAGCACTTAGAGTTAGAATGGTTTATCGGCAGCATTTTGAGGTAGCATATTTTGTAAAGTCAACAGAAGTCACAGAGCTGCTCTGCAGTTTCTCATGGACACAAAGGGACAGGCCCTCAGCCTTTGCTCTCGGTGGAAGAAAACGAGTGTGTCTGTATTCAGGACAGGACCAAGTGAGCCCGAACACACTTCCTACCATCTCGCCACGGCCGTGTCTTCATACACTTCATGTATTACAGGTTTCGGAAAAGGTAAAGGCATTTTGATCCTTCTCTCCTCTTGGTGTGGTCACCGCCCCGGCTGTGGGGCCAATCTTTCTACCACATGCAATTCTTGCTGACAGAACACGCGGGGGGAAGGGAAATAGGGCATCATGGCACTTTTTTAAAACATTGGCTCTAACAATTTAATTAATTAAGAGTGACTAACTCCTCTAAGGCTATACAGAGTACTGTTTCTGAAGACCTCCTCCATGATTCTGACCCTTAAAAGGCTCTCCCTTTTTTCTCCCCCCGAGTGTAACATTTTGGGGTATCCTTAAGCTTTCTGCAATTTTCCTGGCAGGATGGGGAGCAGAAAAGCTTTAAAAAAATCCACACATAAAAACAACAACAAAAACCAGGTGCAGGAGCAACCCCAAGAACAGACTTCCTTTGTGCAAGTTGAAACAACCCAAGTTTACAGTTCAGGAAAACGGCCTTCTCTAAAAAAAAAAAAAAGTAAATATTCAGCTCAGCTCTGCGTTTTAAACACGAATATACAGTTGAAACAGGTTAAGAATTAAAGCTGCAAATATGGTCCCAACAACTTCAGACCTTGGTGCAGATCAAATTTTTGCCCATGGGCGCAGATTTATGAGGGACGTCAAATCCCTAAAGCCCTTTTGTCCCAGTATCCTTTCTGTTTGAAAGTTAAACCCTTGGAAGGAATCAATGTACAAACGAATAAAAATAGCACATGCCCAGGCAAAAAAGGGCATGAGCTGGGCCTGAGCTGCCATATGGAAAACTCTGCCATTGAGTATCCTATACAATCGGCAAAGGCTGCCAGCCCAGATCCAGAGCCCAAGGCATCAGTGAACTTGCCAGCCACCCAGGTCAACTGTGGACCCAGAGCCAATGACACAACTGGGCATCAGCCTTCAAGTATATGAGGTGCTACAAGAGCTGGTTTGCTCAAGGACTTGGGCTGACCCTCGGAGGCCCCCGCCTTGTCCCATGACATCCTGTGATGCAAAAAGGAAAGCACTGCTTACAGTCACTAAAACACACAGAGTGGAAGGTGGGGAATCGAACCGCCCTCTGAATATACCAGCCTAACAAATACAAATAAATTCTTCAACACTTTGTACAACTAGAAGGTGCGTGAGCTGGTATTTAAGCGATCACTTTAAGCTCTCTTTTCCCCTTTCTGGATCAAATAGGAAAATGGTTCCGTTGGGTTAACAGTGTCACTTTAAAAATGCCATAAATTAAATAAGTTAGTTCACATTTTTTTCCCCCAGCACTTAAGTTACAGAGAGTCTCTAATGTGCTTTTGAAGTCTGCATCAACAGTTCCAGGTCTCTTCTGCGGACAGCGCTGGTTCTGTGACAACCATATTCATCCAGCTGCAAAGGTATGAATTGTTCAAGCAGCCCAAGGCCCTGGCCAGCAGGACTGGTGAATAGCTTAGCCCATGATGGTTTAAAGTTTCCGCTGAATCCCAAAAATATGGTACTCCCTTTAAAAACAAACAATAACAAAAAAAAGTGTAATTCGTACATCTACTAGTTTCAGGCAAGATAATGCGGGAGGTGAGTCGGAGGTGAGCAAAACAAAGACAGTTATAAACACAAAAAAACTATCCTTCCTTACGTCAGCCATTGAACTCTTACCACCCACCTCTTGCCCCAAATAACAAACCACATCCCCAAACGCTTCCTCTAATAATGTTTCCTTATTTAAAGATTATCTTAATGATGCCCGCTTCAGCAAAATAAGCTCATGAAAACAACCTGGGGGCCATAGTCCACCATAAAAATGCTCATGTGGCTGGACTCATAAGAACTCCATAGAATAATACAAATACAAACCTTTGTTATAAAGATGAGCTGGTTTGGCTAATCCCAGAGGTACTAACGATTCTGAAATATTCAAATGCTTTATTTCTCCTCTTGTGCTCAACAAAACAATTGACCTGTATGTAAAAGTTAGAACGTTGGAGGGAATTTCAGTAAATCAGCATGTGTTAATTGAGTACCTTTCTGAACTGAGTACACCACAGATATGCTAGGTAAAAGCAGAACTCAAAACAAACAGGAAAAAAAAAAAACAGATGCTTTTCACCTTCCTGCTGTTCCAAGTTTGGCTCCCCTGACCCACCCAGAACTGTGTTGCTATTCCAAGGTGTCTCCAAGAGTAGGGAAGGCAAAGGTCATTTAGGTCAGTTGACCCAGTGAACAAATTGGGACTCTGCTCTTTTATGGAATAAACTAACAGAGGAGGTTAGTTTTGTTTGTTTCAGATACTCTACTTATCTATTTAAGTCCTATTATCTATTTATCAAATAAATTAATAAACATCAATTCTAAAAAGAAATAAAAGCTGTGCCCCATGGTTTGGTTTAAATTGCCCTGTTTGCTATGTAGCATAGCAACATATATACTTAGATCTGTTTGTGGATTTTCTCTTCTCCTGACCTCTCCTCTCTCCTCTGCCAATGCTATGCTGGCTTAATTACTATGGCCTCATGATTTATTTTAATATCTTATAAAACAAGCCCCACTGTATTATTTTAAGTTGTCTACAAATATTTTATTACTCTCCCACATTTATTCTTCCAGATGAATTTCAGTACCAACTGTCAAGGACAATAGAAAAGTAACCTATTAGGACACTGATGGAAATGTGTTAAATTTATATTTATGTAGGTAGAGAGACATCTTTACAATATTAACTTTCCCTCTAGAAACAGGGAAAATCTATCTTTTTCTTCAACTTGCTTATATCCATCAGTATTCATTTTCTTAATGAGGGTCCTGACATGTTTTATTAAGATCCAGAAGTTTTAGGTTGGTATGGATTCTTTGAAGTCATTCCAAAGCAGTGGTGACCATTCAGACTCAGAACAGAGGTCTGACCATAGCAACTCTACAGGTCTGATTCCCTTGAGGCTAGTCCCATGGAGATCACTTACAGGTCCCCACTGCCCCCCCCCCCCCCCCCCCCCAATACGTGCACAGTATCTCCAGAAGTCACTCCCAGTTGCCCCATAACCTCTTAACACTTTGTTAAGACACAACACGCAGACAGTAAAGTATTTACACCGAAAAAAAGTATTTACACCGAATTTCTGCCCACTAAACATACTTATGTCACCAACCCGGATGAAGAAGCACAGCACTACCCAGATTTTAAAAGTCTTCCTTCGGTCTCCTTTCTAGAAACAACCTTGTGACTTTTTAATGACTTGGTTTTAACTCTTAAGTCTATAGGGTACCATGCAGGACACCAAGTTACCCTAAATATTGGTGGTGAGACACTCTGGATTGTCTTAGGTGGACTGAGTACCTGTGTTTCCACCACTGGGAAAAGTTTTAAATCCTGAAAGAAAACTGAGGCCTTGGAATTCCCTACAAGTATCTTAAAGCAGAAGACAGGGCTACACATGCACATTGTATATTACACTCAAATAATCCGATGACTTTAGGGGACTTCCTGAGACCTGGTTCTGTAAAGTGTAATGAGCATAAGTCATCAGATAACCGAAGATGTGTTCAAAAACTAGACAGGACTTTATTCCCCAGGAAGCTTATGTCCCTCCCTTAGTTACTTCACTAACTGAAGATCTGCATGTAAATCAATGTCTGTAGCACAACCAAGGAAGGCAGAAAGGAGCCTGAATTCATCGCCTTGCCTCTAGGCAGGGTCTAACCAATCCCCAAAAAGAAAGGTTTTGTTCATGTGCCTGCTTCTTCAGAGACCAACAAAACAAAACCAATCAGACCAGGGCTCTGAAAAGAGAGACCAGATACTCAACCGCTTAAAAATCAGTTGACTCCTTTCCAGTCACTTCCATGTGAGCCAGGGGATGAATTCACAGCACAATGCCATCTGGGGGCTTATCAGTGGGACAGATGGCCACAAAGGCAAAATTGTGTATAAAATTGCTTACATCAGTAATGAACCTTCTGAGTGAGTTAGGTGGAAAGCAGATCAACCAAATGCTAAAATGTGGGACAGTAAAGCTCCAAAATACAGAACAATTCCCCTTCAAAGAGCCTTTACACTATTTGCAAACTCTTCTAATAGCCCAGCTTTCACTTATCAATGATAGGTACTTTAGACCACAGGGGCGTCCATCTGAGAAGAGGAAGGAATGGATACCTTTCAACAGCCGTAAGTGCCCACTGAAGAAAAGGGTGGAAAGACAAACCGAAGCTCAGAGTTAACCAGGTGTCACTTGCTCAAGGTGACTTGTCCCTCTTACAGAGCAAGCTTCACCTACCTTGGAGGGATGCCTGTTCTCAAATACTCTTCCAAGCGACTGATATCAGCAAGAGAGTAAAGCTTCTTTGCCATTAAGCGGAAAGGAACGCTGCAGGCATCCACAACGAGGAGGAGAACACCCGGATTTTGGATGGTAAAGTCGGTGCCGTTGACCTGAGAAGAGAGAAACGTCTTCCGCCGTCACCACCGTTTCATATCTCCAGGACGGTTCATTTTTCTAGTCCGTCCCTCTGTCTTCTAAACCCATGATTCAAATTATAGTTCCAGGATTCAAGCTGCATGATCCATTTATTCTTTCTCCACCAACATCTGAAACTAAGCCAGCGTTCTCTAGACCGCGCCTCGATTGGTCTTTACTGATGGAATAGATGCTCGAGAAAGGCATCTCAATGGAGGCACTCAGTTGAGCAGCGTGACTCTGCACGTGTACGGGATTAATTTTTGCACACACTCTCTCACTGGGGCCAATGCTTGCAAACTCAGTGAAAGATCAGTTGATAGCCTTGTACTGCAGCCCCGATAGCTCACTTAATGTCCCATTGGTTCAGAAAAAAAATACCACACCTCCCCCCACATGTAAGCCCCCCCATTAGAGTTTAGGTTTGGAACAGGAGAGGAGCCAGATGGCCTCATCTCCTTTTTTCCATCCATAGCTCTCCTGTAAAATCAAAATGGAAAAGTGGTCATTTCACCAGGATTTAAGCCACAAGGTAGTAATAGATTTGGTTCACAATTATTGTGAGCTGAAGTTTCCAGTAGTCCTCTTTAAACTAAATTAGCAGTTTGAGACTTCTTGAAGAAAAAGGAACGCCAGACACATCCAAATATCATTAATTCATCAGCCAAAAAAGAAGGAAAAAAAAACCCTCACCAGAGTAAAAAATGATTCAACACCAATTTAAGCCACAGGCACTGTTCCTACCTAAAATGTGTAAAACTGGGGCATTTGGCTGGCTCAGTCGGATGAGCGTGTGGCTCCTGATCTCAGGGTTGTGAGTTCAAGCCCCAAATCGAGTGCAGAGATTACTTAAATAAATCAATAAAAACTTAAGAAAAAAGTTTTCCTTAAAAAAAAAAGAAATAAATTGTGTAAAATTATAAACTATACTAAAGGCTAACCAAGGAGAAATGCTATCACCACCACACCTGTACTTGTTTGGGGAAATTATATTGAAATTTTATTTCTAATCGCTACTGGTCTCACAGGAATCAAAATGACTTTTTCGCTAATAATTCTGGAAATCCTTGAGGTAAAGTACCCTTTTATATTTGGAAAGACTGGAAGTGTTTTTAAGACACTTGTTTTTAAAACTCAGAATACAGGGGCACCTGGGTGGCTCAGTCGGTTAAGCGGCTGACTTCAGCTCAGGTCATGATCTCACGGTCTGTGAGTTTGAGCCCCGCGTCGGGCTCTGTGTTGACAGCTCAGAGCCTGGAGCCTGTTTCAGATTCTGTGTCTCCCTCTCTCTCTGACCGTCCCCCGTTCATGCTCTGTCTCTCTCTGTCTCAAAAATAAATAAACGTTAAAAAAAATTTACAAAAAAAGAAATTAAAAAAATAAATAAATAAAACTCAGAATACATAAAATTAAGATACATCTGAGAAAAAATATATAATGATACCCAACACACTTAAACTGTCCTTTTGAAAAGAATCCCCTAAGACCTACTGCTTAAAGAAACACAGCAGTTTCCACACAGACTAAAGCAACGTCATGTCCTAGCAAAGACTCTTCAGGTACTGCAAGGGGAAAGCACTGGAGGTACAATGTTCTGTGACTTTTTTGGGGTCCCGAGCACCCAGTATGCAGCAATGGAGTTTTAAAAAAAAAGTCTTCACAGGGCACCTGGGTGGTTCAGTCGGTTAAGCGTCTGACTCTTGGTTTTGGCTCAGGTCATGATCTCACAGTTCATGAGTGCAAGCCCTGTGTCAGGCTCTGCACTGACAGTGTGGAGCCTGCTTGGGATTCTCTTTCTCTCTCTCTCTCTCTCTCTCTCTCTCTCCCCCTTTCTCCCTGCCCCTGCCATGCTCACGTTCTCTCTTTCAAAATAAAAATAAAACTTACCAAAACAAAACAAAACAAAGTCTTCCGACCCTGGAGCAGAGCCTGCCTGAGATTTTTTTGAGCAAAGCAGTATCTTCTTAAATTATTTAGTGAAGTTAATAGAGCAGAAAGACTCAGCACCCACTTGCTTCCATTACACAACTGACTCCCACCCAGATACCATGCCAACCGGCTAGGATCAGGCTCTCCAGGTAGCCGACGGCATTGAGATGCTGAGTTAACAAATTTCATGCCAAAAAAAATCACATCTCAAACACAGTACAAAACGAGCAGTTGCTAACACAGGATAGTAGGCATAAATATACAGTTGGGAAATCTTTGGGCTACCTTTAAATAGGAATCTTCTCTATTTATTTTTAGTATTTGTGTGTGGTCATGAGATCCAACCGCTTAACAAATTTTAAGTGTGCAATACATAATTGTGGACTGTGGGGACAACGTTGTACAGCAGCTCTTGAGAGTTTATGTATCTTACTCAATTGAAACTACATGCCTGCTGATCAGGAATGCCTCATTTCACCCTCCCCCCTTAAGTAGGGATATTCTTGTTTTAACTTGTTTTACCGTTTATTTTTGAGACAGAGAGAGAGAGAGAGAGAGAGGGAGAGAGAGAGATAGCGCCTGAGCTGGGGAGAGGCAGAGGGAGAGGGAGACACAGAATCTGAAGCAGGCTCCAGGCCCTGAGCTGTCAGCACAAAGCCCGACGCAGGGCTCGAGCTCATGAACTGCGAGATCATGACCTGAGCCGAAGTTGGACACTTCACTGACTAAGCCACCCAAGTGCCCCAGTAGAGATACACTTAATTCAGAGTTGCTACAAAGCTCTTAATTCAGAGTTCAGCCCTGGAAATGGATGGTGGGGATACCTGCACAACAATATCCATGGACTTCATGCCACTGAGCTGCACACTTAAAAATGATTAAGATGATTGGGGCGCCGGGGTAGCTCAGTAGGTTAAGTGTCTGACTCTTGATTTCAGCTTAAGTCATGATTTTACAGTTCGTAGGATCGAGCCCCGTGTTGGTCTCTGCACTGAGAGCTTGGGATTCTCTCTCTCAAAATAAATAAATAAACTTAAAAAAGAAAACCCTAAAAAATGGTTAAGATGATGAATGTTATGTTATAAATACTTTAACACAAGTAAAAAATTGGGAAGGAAAACAAGAGTAAGGTAGAATTTTGTCAACATACAACATGTGGATTTGTGATTGTGTTGCCCACCACTTTAAAACACTGGGCTCGTATGGTTAGAGGACGGGTCAAGCAGGTGAAGGGGATTAAGAGGTACAGACCTCCAGTTATAAAATAAATAAATCACAGGGAAGAAAAGTACAGCGTAGGGAATAGAGTCAATAATACTGTAATAACTTCATATGGTGTCAGGTGGTAACTACACTTACCATGGTGAGCATTTCATAATGTATACAGCTGTCAAACCTGCTGTGCCTGGAACTAATATAACATTGTATGTCAGCTATATTTCAATTATAAAAGTTAAAAAAGAGGGGCCTTTAAAGAGACCACGCGAGACTGGGACCAGGCCCAGGCTGGATGTCACTTAGATGGCTACATACCTGCCACCACAAGAGTTCCTAACACAGTGGCACTTAGGTCAATCTGGTTTTGGACAGATCTCATGCCAACAGCTGGTTACCACTGGCGAGCTTGGCTCTTAACCCCAATTCTAAGTGTTGGCGATGCGGTTTAGGCCTTTACTTCCATAAACTTGCCTAGAACAGACAACTAACACTTCGTGAACAAATTTTGACATTCACCTCAAAGTAATCAGTAAAGACAATCTACTGAGAAAAAAAAAAGATTTTTTAGTAAGTTTGAACTTATTTAAAACTGCAAATGTTTAGGAGGTACTTATAACTTTATTACATCGCTTGCCACCAAGGGACTGTTGCCAGAGATGATTCATGTCACTAGGATGAAATATCAAAGTGAGAAACTGAGGCGGGTACATATCAGATGGTACTTACGGAGATCACAGACAGGTCTCCACGCTGAGTCTCTGCTTTACTGGGTGACTGGAATTGCACGGGGAGGTAGCTTTTATGAGGATCACTAGTAAACACCACCTAAACGGGGAAGAAATTCCATGTTAACGTCAACTGCATCTTCCTTCAAAAGGGCCACAAATTAAACCCAATTATACCAAACCCAATGGTGTTTTTTCCCCCTTTGTACATATTGCATGGCCTAGAATTCCATGTTTTGATACAAATGTAACACAAGAAGTGATTGTTCCTCACTTTCTGGAATAATCCCAGTGTCAAATAATTGTACTCTTATTAATAAAATCAATTCTGCAAAGGACTAAGTAAGTGTGCTTTACACTTATAAACACTTTATGCAAACAATAGTCACAAATGTTTTTAAAGGTCCTTTTCAGACCAGTTATCTTAAATAGGGACTGAGTCACTCCCAAACTAAGAAGTATAGATGACAAGGATTACCCTGTTCAAAACCTTTTAGTAGGCTGTGCATCACCAGGCTAAATTCTTCTACCAGACTTGCAATGTGTCCCATAAATCAAGCCACGCCTTATGTACGGGCCCCTAACCCACTGTTCTAGCACATTCCACACACAGTGCAGCAACTTTGCTTTCCCACAGTGCTTCATCTCCTTTCCTGCCAAAATTCTGCCTTTGCAGATGCTGTTCCCTCCCAAGAGTGTCCTTGTTTCCTTCTACTCCTCAAAATCACTCCCAGCCTCCAAATCCCACCTCCTCCCTCCTCCCTAAAGGCTTTCTTCTCATTCCAAAGCAAGCTTCTCACACAACTGAGCACCTAAAGTATATATCTTTCTGAATGGATGTCAACAACTTCCTCACAAGGGCAAATAGTCATGAGACATCATGATACTAAACATTCAGAAGCTCCACATTTCTTTGAGTCTCAGGTTTGGAGTCAAAAATTTATGTGAATTTTCCTATTTACTCCTAAGGTACATGTGCCTGTTTTTAATATTCAAAACAAACTCATTCCCTCAAATCTCCAAGTAAAAGTGATGTTTTCAAATACTTCAAGTACCATGCAATTGCACCAATATATATCATCGGTATTTTCAAAAAAATAAATTCTAACCAATGTTTCAAGCGCACGCGCGTGTATGCACCTGTGCGCGTGCGTGCGCACACACACACACACACACACCAAAGAATGCTAAACATTAAGGTATGGAACCATTTAACAAGACAGGCTATTTCCAGTGATGATTATTTTTAAAAATTATAATGTTGGAGTCGTAACTATAAATTATATAATCTTGCCAGTAATGAAGAACTTTCTTAACAAATTCAACTTGAGAATTGGGCTGGAGAATTTACTTTTCCACAAAGATTATCTAAAAATGCCACTTTAGCAGTTAAGACATTACATGGGACAGGCAAGGATCTATATAAACTTCTTCAGGTACATGGCTGGTGGGTTGGTGGGTTGGTGGGTGGGTTGATTGGTTGGTTGGTTGGTTGGTTGGTTGGTCGGTGGGTTGGTGGTAGAGTTTTAGTTGAGCTGGAGAATAGAGGTGGCACAGGGACATGAAACACTGAAACTGTGATAGTGAACTGCCATTGAAAATATACTTAACCATATATCATAATAAGAAGGAAAAAAAATCCCTGCTCTTACTATCACCAATAGGCAAAAACAAACAAGAAACATTTCTGATTCAGTAGGATTGGCATAGGACCAAGAATTCTAATATTTCACAAGTTCCCAGGTGATGCTGATGCTGTCAGTCTGGAGACCCCACTTTGAGAACCGTTTCCCGTAACCCATATTTAACCTATGCTTTAATTTACGCATTTAATTCTACGCTTCTTTTTCACTTAGAATTGGTCTGACTTCCTTTAGAAACCCCATGACCAATTTGAGCTCATATTTTGGACTTTCAATGTCATGTTTTCTTAAGACCCAGAGAGAAACTTTATAACTAAGAATATGTCAGGTGAAGCATTTCACTTCTAGCCCAAGTTAGTTTGTACTTTTAACTACAGATAAATATAATAGCACATGCTTCAAAATTAATCACTTCCAACCTTGAAAAAAAAGGAAATAATTTTCATATCAAGTGCATTTTTGGAAGAGAAATTTTACAGTCATCAATAAAACAACATATTTTCCTACATCATTGAAATGTAAACCCAATAGCAATATTGTAACAGAATCACACCTGAGGGGGGAAAAAAGATGAGGACCAAAACGTCTATAGTCATCCAGGATAAACTGACATATCACAGGGGTAAGATATTTTTATTATGAATTTGGACTAGTTTGCTTCTTATAAGCATCACATTCTACAATGGGCCACAATTCAGGAGAAACCATGCAATATTTCTAACTTGGCAATACAGATGTTTCAAAGAAAAATGTGCCTATTGCAAAAAAAAAAAAAAAACCCAAAATCAAACAAAAAAACCTCCAAAAACAAAAAAAAAACTTTTCATTCTTTCTCTCAACCCACAGTCCACTTTTCTTCCTTGTTTACCTGGCGGGTCCCGCAGCCTTGACAAAGCCCGGTGAGCATGGATGGCATGCGCTTGAGTGCTGATGGCTTCCTGTAATACTGAGGATAAGCTTTGGCCATGCAGTTACTGATGTCTTTTGAGTCCGTTGCTGCCTGGATCTTGACTCTTTCGCATCCCTGAGATGAACAGTAACTGTGGCCATCCCTGTGGCTTTTGGCTTTGAGATACAAAAATAGTAACCTGTGTAGAACACAAACCAATCCATAGGGTGTCAGACTGACACTCACAAACTAACAAAAATTCCTCAGATCAGCTCATGGCCTAAAGGGACATTCCTCTAATAAAGTAACTTTTCCTTAAAAGAAAATAAATTACAAAAGTAATAAAGTTGTTTCTCATTCCTTTCTATCCTCCTAGGGTCCTAAGTCAAATGTAAAGACTATGTTCAGAAAATATTTTGATAACCCAATTCAGGCATTCTGGAACATATCAAAGTTAATTTCTGGATTAAATTAGTTCAATGGGTAATTTGGGAGGATGGCCTTTGGTTTGGTTCAAAAATTCTTTGGAAAATTTTAGACTTGTATTGAGTTTTAGGATTTTGTAAATTAGTGTGGTTTATTCTTTTTTTTTTTTTTTTTTTTTTGGTTTATAAATCATTTTGGTTTAAGGCATAAAATTGAAATAATAAAAATAGCAACTGTGACTTGCTTGGCTAAGGCCAAGATATGGTCTCACATCAGTTCCTGTGATGTTTACTAAGAGCAGATGGGCCTGAGGTCCTTCTGTCTGTACTTTGGCCAAAATCAAGTGAAATGAATAGTCACGCCCACTCTGAATGATCCTCCAGCTGCCAAGATGAATGGAAAAGTCACTTCCAGGCAACAGTCCAATGTCTGTCAGCGGAACTAGTGTTTCTGAACCAAGGGGAGACTGTAAAGCATTTGATCAAATGTGATTGATTACTAGAGATTAAGAACTCATATTTTAATAGGAAGTCAGTGAACAATGAAAAGTTGTGATACTGAGGGAAAAAATCAGCCATTGTCCTAACATCGATACTTTTAACATATATGCAGAAGGAATGAAAGGGACCTAATTAGGTCTGGGCTTTTTGAGATACAATTAAAAACTGTCAAAATGAATAGAATTAAAAAGAATGAGAACCTTGGAGACTGAGGGATTATAAAAATACCTGGCTGAGCAATCCCTATCAAAATAACAGCAGCATACTTCACAGAGCTAGAACAAACAATCCTAAAATTTGTATAGAACCAGAGAAGAACCCAAATAGCCAAAGCAATCTTGAAAAAGAAAACCAAAGCTGGAGGCATCATAATCCTGGACTTCAAGCTGTATTACAAAGCTGTAATCATCAAGACAATCTGGTACTGGCACAAAAACAGACACTCAGATCAATGGAACACAATAGAGAACCCAGAAATGGACCCACAAATGTTTGGCCAACCAATCTTTGACAAAGCAGGAAAGAATATCCAATGGTATACAGATAGTCTCTTCAGCAAGTGGTGCTGGGAAAACTGGACAGCGACATGCAGAAAAATGAACCTGGACCACTTTCTTACACCATACGCAAAAATAAACTTAAAATGGATGAAAGACTTAAACATAAGATAGGAAGCCATCAAAATCCTAGAGGAGAAGGCAGGCAAAAACCTCTTTGACCTTGGCTGCAGCAACTTATTACTCAATACGTCTCCAGAGGCAAGGGAAACAAAAGCAAAAATGAACTACTGGGACCTCATCAAAATAAAAAACTTTTGCACAGCGAAGAAAATAATCAGCAAAACTAAAAAGCAACCAACGGAATGGAAGAAGATATTTGCAAATGACATATCAGATAGAGGGTTAGTATCCAAAATCTATAAAAAACTTATAAAACTCAACACCCAAAAAACAAACAATCCACTGAAGAAATGGGCAAAAGACATGAATAGACACTTCTCCAAAGAAGACATCCAGATAGCCAACCGACACATGAAAAAATGCTCAACATCACTCATCATCAGGGAAATACAAATCCAAACCACAATGAGATACAACCTCACACTTGTCATAATGGCTAACATTAATAACTCAGGCAACAAAAGATGTCAGCGAGGATGCGTAGAAAGAGGATCTCTTTTCACTGCTGGTGGGAATGCAAGCTGGTGCAGCCACTCTGGAAAACACTATGGAGGTTTCTCAAAAAATTAAAAATACAACTGCCCTATGACCCAGCAATTGCACTACTAGGTATTTATCCATGGGATACAGGTGTGCTGTTTCAAAGGGGCACATGCACCCCCATGTTTATAGCAGCACTATCAACAATAGCCAAAGTATGGAAAGAGCGCAAATGTCCATCGATGGATGAATGGATAAAGAAGATGTGGTATATATATACAATGGAGTATTAAATCCATTCATGGAGAATGAAATCTTGCCACTTGCAACTATGTGGATGGAGCTGGAGGGTATTATGCTAAGTGAAACTAGTCCGTCAGAGAAAGACAAATATCTTATGACTTCACTCACACGAGGAACTTAAAGATACAAAACAGATGAATATAAGGGAAGGTAAGTAAAAATGATATCAAAATAGGGAGGGAGACAAAACATAGGAGACTCTCAAATATAGAAAACAAACAGAGGGTTGCTGGAGGCGTTGTGGGAGGGAGGAATGGGCTAAATGGGAAAGGGGCATTAAGGAATCTACTCCTGAAATCATTGTTGCATTACATGCTAACTAACTTGGATGTAAATTAAAAATAAACAAA